TTTAGATGCACTCATCATCAGAAAGGTTGCCGACCCCTGCTCCAGTGCAACATTTAAAAAATATTAAAAGAGTTGTATGTAAAGGTGAGGCAAAAAGTATAAATAATTTCTGTTTGCACACATGTAGTGATGTGCTTTAACCTGATAATGCTCAATGGTTGTAAAATCAAGTTGAAACTGAGGCTTATCTTCTAATTTACGCACAATATAAAAACTTCAGCAACGGTTGGAGATGCCACTTAAAAACACCAAAAATTAAAGAAACCAATTTAGACCTGAGAAAAGTAATTGTTGATACTCATAAAGCAGGAGATGGACATGCAAAATTATCACCTCATTTCCAAGCATCAAGAACTGGACTGAGACAGGTGTGGACATTGCCTACAAGCATAATCACTGCTACAGGATGGTATCCAAAAACTGAAGCTGGGCCCAGTGGCACCATGCTTTTGAAAGCTCAAGCCCCTGAATGACCGGTTGAGTTCTCACCTGGTCATCTTCTCCAGAGTGACGTGACGTTTCTGACATGGCTTCGGTGACCACTGGAGAAATGCCCAGAAACATCTAATTACATATTTTAAATTTTGATAAGATAACTAAACTAGTGGTGTCAAACTCATTTTAGTTTGCGAGCCACATACTTATACTTTGATCTTAAGTGGGCCGGACAAGAGAAACTCCCCTTTCTGTCAGTGTAAAGAAGTTACATGTTTAACAGTTTTTCTACATGATTAAGAAAACACACATGAGGTTTAAGGTCCTGGACAAATTTGAAACCTTTTGTTCTCCACAATGAAAAATGGATGAAAATAGAAATGGATGCTTTAGAGAGCTCCTAATTCGATAAATTCTGCACTCGGCTTTGCAGTCTCCAGTATCATTGCAGCCAGATGCTGCACATTTTACGTTTTCGCTGATATCTTCACTTTTTCCTGACAAGCTTGCATTTAAATCCAGCTCCCCATCTCTCTGTATAACCGGCCTGTACCACTACCCTTGCTGTCTGGAGATGTCTGCCCACTTCCGTCTTTCACATAATGGTATCTATGTCTGTCTTTGCATGTGATTGGCTGTATGGTGTGGCCATCAAAATAAAGTCCCAGCCCTGCCTGCGTGGATTCTCAGCAGGTCTGACGATTCAGCTCCAACGTACCGACGGGCCATTAATAACTGACACATGATATTATCTCGCGGGCCGGATATAATTGTATCGGGGGGCATGACTGACACCCCTGCCTTAAACTTACTCTTGCTCATTTTTTTTCCTCTGAATAACTGTCCTACAAATATTTGTGTGAATATACAGTGTGTTGTAATATCTAGCAACCTCCCAAACCCTTCAGTGATTTCTTGAATAAATTCTCTAATCTGCTCTCATCTGTTGTTGTGAAATTTGACAATATTATTTATAAGGTGACTTTAATTTACATATTTATTTTCCCTCTAACCGTACTGCTACAGAATGTTTAAACATTGCTAGGTTATTTAAATTCCTCTTGCTATATCTGTAAACTCCCTGCATGTTGTTACATCCACCAGATCCATGGCTCCTAACCAGGAGAGAGAGACCTCTAGCAAATGCTTAGTGTTCTCTCTTAGTTTCGCTCATACCTGGTAGCTAGCTTTGTCGTGTAGGTCAACTCAGTGAAGTCAAGAGATGCAGTGAGGTGTCGAATTTAACTTTTATTCAAACTGTGAAGCACTTTGTAACTCTGTGCTATGCAAATAAATGTTATTGTTATTATTATTTATTCTTTTTTTTTTCAGGACAGCTTGTCATTAGCTTGGAACAGACTGGGTAGCATTATATTAGATGTGTTGGTCTTCTGATTTATGACACTATCACCATATGTGGACTTTGTCAAACCTCACTGCCACCATGAAAATACACAATAGACCTGTTTGAATGACAAAGTTTTGAGGCTAGTTTAGTGCCATGGGTGTTGTGTTACTCAAGCTTTTCCAGAACAGTCTTGATGCCTGCCCAATCATCCAGGTAAGGACATCCCAAAAAGTTGATTCTGTTCTGTCCTTAAAGCGCTGCACCCAGATGAACAGACTTAGCTTTTTGGGCTCATACAGTCATGAGCTCCTGCTCAAAATCAACAGAAGCAAATCCACAAACTTTTCACACATGGAAGAGCTACAAATTACACTGAGGAACTGTGGACTGCTTCAGGGGCATCTACCATCAGCAACCCCCCCTGCTAGATCTTGCCCACAGTGGAAACGTCTCAGGTGGTGTGGGAGGAAGAGGGGTAAGCACAAAGCCGTCTGGAGTAGGCTAGCAGCTAAACCACACAAACCTGTTATTCCCACCATTGTACTGTCCAATGTGCGCTCCCTGGACAACAAGCTGGATCTTGTATGCTTACTTCGGTCCACTTTTGAAGTGAGCGCTGTGTCTTCATCTTTGTAGAAACTTGGCTTAACAATAACATTCCCGACAGTGCCATTCAACTTGACTGGCTAACATGCTTTTGGCAGAGGTCAGCGACAGAGGTCTTGTCTAAGGGGGTAAGACTCGTGGAGAGGGACTCTGTGTTTACATCAAGGATGTCTGGTGTCGTAACGCTGTTGTGGTTTGCAAATGTAACACCTGCTTAGTATCTCACTAAGCGTATCTCGCATCACTGTATGCATCAGGAATGGCATCAGCACTCATAGCCAAGGACTCAACTAGAATGACATAAGGTGAGTTTTCACTTTTCCCATTGAGAGGATGCTTATTACATACAGCTGCTATGGTGTCAGGGCATACATTGTTAGAGCTTGGAAGGGATCTGAGAAGACGTGAGGTGAGTTGTTGAATCCTGTTTTCCTCTTCCAATGCCACACTATCTGCAGCCAGAGTTTGATGAGGCCCATGGATGTGTGCTGAGCCCCCTTCTCTTCACTCTGCTGACCCACGACTGCACACCATCACACAGCTCCAACCTTTTCATCGAGTTTGCAGACGAAACAACTGTGGTAGGTCACATCAGCAACAACAACCTGTCCCTGAATGTGAAGAAGGAGGAGAACATCATAGACTTCAGGAGAACTCACACCCTGCACACCCCACTAACTATCAGCAGTGCTGATGTGGAGAGGGTAAGCAGCACCAAGTTCCTGGGTGAGCACATCTCAGAAGATCTCTCCTGGTTAAAAAACACAGCATCACTGGTCAGAAACGCCCAACAGCGACTCTACTTCCTCTGCTGACTGAGAAGAGCAAGAGCCTCAACACCCATTATGAGCACCTTCTACTGCACCCGCCTCATCCAGAAAGCTCTCAGCATTACAGGTGACTCCACTCATCCCTCCAACAGGTTCTTCGGGAAGGAGACTGAAGAGCCTCTCTAGACCAGCAGACTGAGAGACAGCTTCATCCATCAGCCTGTCAGGATGCTGAATTCATTCCTTGCTCTCACACACAGGAACTCCAGACCTGCATTCAACTCTTCCCTCGTTTTATCTTTATATTGTTTTAGTGTACACTGAGGGCCATGGGAGCTTTGCAACTTCAAATGCCTGTGTATGATCTGTGCATATGGCTTTTGACAATAAAGCTGACTTTGAGCAGACTTTGATTTTATGGTTTCAGTACTGATTTTAGAGACATTAAGCAGATGTTAGAAGAGCTTTGGATACACGTGGGTTACGCTGAAAGTATTTTAGGGAATTCCATTGTAATGAAAAATTCTACGTGTTTTTTCCTTTTTATCTAAATTTTTAAAACTACATCAAAAGAATAAAAGAAAACTTAATAAAAAAAACAATCAAACAGCTGCAGATATTTTGTGTAACTAATCATGAAATAAATGCGATTATCATTTTTTCTGTGCAATATACTGTACTATGCTTTGCATATTTACAGTGTCTTTATGTGTGTGAGTTTGTGTCAACACAGACGTTTTGCATGACTCACAGAATGTGCCTTTTGGTATATCTTCATCTGTAAGCACACCAGTTAAGCCTGCTGCTTTTGCGTGTCAGAGATTTGTGCAGGTTACAAATAAGGACACAATTAAAGAGAATGCAGGTTGTGAATTTTGTAATGAAGTCAAGATCACATTTTGGTACCTGGCGATGGCAGGTTACACTGTCATGTTTAACTTTAACAGTAACTGCAGGACAAGACCATTGGAACATATTACCACTTTTTTGTCCCTATGTGTGATTGTAGGTGGACCAACAACCCTTCACTCTTTGTCTAGCGCTCTCTCACTCATTTTTTCTTCTTTGTTTTTTATTCATCTGTCTTTCTCTCTCTTTTTGTTTATCTTTCTGTCTACGCAGCTGTACAGCAGTATGCCTGTATGTTTGCCAGCAGCATAAGAAGAAGCATTATGGAAGTGAAAGAGCGACGTCCATACTGCTCCCTAACAAAGAGCCGGAAGGACAAAGAGGGGCCATACAGTGGTGAGACAGCTCATTTAGAACATTCATAGAGTCTTTTATGTTTCTTTTATTATGTATGTGTTTGTCCATCCATTCATTTCATGAGTCAGCCAAGAGCTGACTGATATATATATACCCACATAGCAGACGGGTCTGGCCATGTGTAAGCACATTGTGTGGGCTAGATCTGGGCCATACCAATTTTGCTATGTGGGTATACATATAAAAGACGAGGAATCCCCTGACCATGCATGAAGGGTTTCACCCCAAGTCCAGCACCCTGAGACTGCACGCTAAGTGGAAGAAAGGAAGCCGGGGACTACTGAGTGTTACTACCACAGTCCAGGATGAGACAACGAACACGAGTACACCAGAAAGATGGCCGCCACCAGTGTGCTCAGTGAATACCTCAGGAAGCAGAAACCTAAGAAATGGGAGCAAGAGGAGGAACAATCATGGAAAGACAGGTCCCTGCACGTTATGTACCACCAGCAGATAGAAGAAGTGACTGACATCCAGAAATCCTACCAGTGGCTGGACAAAGCTGGACTGAAAGACATCTTAGAGGCACTAATCATGGCAGCACAGTAACAAGCTCTGAGCACAAGATCCATAGAGGCTGGGGTCTATCACACTTGGTAAGACCCCAGGTGCAGGCTGTGTAAAGATGCCCCTGATACAATCCAGCGCATAACAGCAGGGTGCAAGTTGCTAGCCCTAGCAGGCATGGCATACATGGAACGCCATAACCAAGTGGCCGGCATAGTATACAGAAACATCTGTGCCGAGTATGGCCTGGAAATCCCGAGGTCAAAATGGGAGACACAATACAGAATGAGAGCAACATCAGGAAAAAGGAACACAAGAAGCAGGAGAAATACCAAGGGCTAACAGAAGAGCTCAAGACGATGAGGAGTGTGAAGGTAACAGTGGTCCCAATGGTAATCGGAGCACTCAGCAGTGATCAGTGAGATGCTTGGCTATAAGTTGAACAGCTACAAGGAGCAGTACTCTCCATGGAGAAGAAGACTAGAGGCCAAGATCAAGGTAGCACGGAAGGAAGTAGGCCTAAGTATGGTATAACAGGGAGATAGGCAGGAAAATAAACCAGCTGTTCTCTCAGAACCAGCCAAGAGGTACTCTTAGTGGCAGGAGAACAATGTGAGAACACCACCACCAAGGCTGAAGATGGAGCAATACTGGAAGAACATAAGGGAGAAATACACAACCAAAATGTCAATGCTCAGTAGCGAGTGGATCTAAGAGAAGACCACAGCAACCTCCCTGAACAGGATCCAGTAACCATCACTGTAGCAGACATTCAAAAAAGGGTCTCCAGTATGAAGAGCTGGTCAGCACCAGGCCCCGACATGGTTTATGCCTTCTGGCTGAAGAGCTGACTGCACTTCATGAGTGTCTGGCAGCATAAATAAACCACTGAAGGACGGACAGTCCTGATCCCCAAGGTTCCCCAGAAGGGACCAGTCCCATCCAACTACCAGCCAATAACCTGCCTCGCTACCACATGGCTGCTGGCATCATAGCAGCTAAGATGAGCAGGCACATGGCTCAATACATGAGCGGGGCACAGAAAGGGATTGGCAAGAATACCAGAGAAGCAAAACACCAGCTACTGGTAGACAGAGCAGTTGCCCAAGACTGCAAGACTAGGCTGACCAACATGTGCACTGCCTGGATTGATTACAAGAAGGCCTATGACTCGATGCCCCACAGCTGGAGACTGGAATGTCTACAATTGTATAAAATCAACAGGAGCCTAAGAGCCTTCATCATGAACTCAATGGGGATGTTGAAAACAACACTAAAGGCCAACTTAAAGCAAATAGCACAAGTCACCATCAATTGCGGGATCTACCAAGGAGATGCTCTGTCCCCAGTACTGTTCTGCATAGGCCTGAACCTCCTCAATGGGATGTCTTGATGCATGCTCAGTCATCCAGGTAAGTGAATCCCAAAAGTTGATTCTGTTTATCTGGATGTAGCGTTTTCAGTGGGAGAAATGTTTGGTCACTCATCCAAGTGACTCAGTAATGATCAAGGAACTGACCTCACAGTCCATTGTTTAGTGGGCTAGTTTGTGCAAAAGCACTGTTTATAAGGTTGGGGAAACCTGCAGTCAGCTGAGACTGAAAAGTCACTTGGATGAGTGATGAAACATTTCTCCCACTGAAAACGCTACATCCAGATGAACAGAAAAAAACTTTTTGTGGTTCTAAGTGAGATCATTGACAAGGCTGGCTAAGGATACCCACTACAGGATGGAGCAATTGTCAGCCAACTGCTCTACATGGATGACATCAAGCTATATACCAAGAGTGAACGAGACATCGATTTACTGATCCACACCACCGGGGTATACAGCAATAACATCGGGATGTCATTCGGACTGGAGAAGTGCAGTCAGACGATAACAAAGAGAAGGAAGATAGTCAGAACTGCCAGAAGGCAATATTGCAGACACAGAGGACAGCTAAAGTACCTGCGAATCCCACAGGCAAATAGGAAACATGAAGAGGCCGCTAGGAAAGCTGCAACCACCAAGTACCTGCAGAGGGTCAGGCAAGTCCTTAGGAGTCAGCTGAATGGTAAGAATAAGATCCAGGCTATCAACACCTACGCCCTGCCTGTGATCAGGTACCCTGCTGGGGTAATAAGCTGGCCAAAGGCGGCGATGGAAGCCACTGACATCAAGATCAGGAAGCTCCTTACTGTGCATGAGGGTTTCACCCCAAGTTCAGCTGTACGCTAAGCTGAAGGAAGGAGGCCGGGCAGTAGTAGCAATACCGAATGTCAGCAACGAACACAACGGAACACAAGACGCAGGAGAAGTACCAAGGGCTCAGAGAAGATGTGGAGGGTGAAGGCAACAGTGGTCCCAGTGGTAATCGGAGCGCTAGGTACAGTGACTCCCAAGCTAGGCGAGTATCTCCAGCAGATCCCAGGAACAACATCTGAGATCTCTGTTCAGAAGAGCGCAGTCCTACACTGTAAAATCTAATTAGTTCCCAGAACTCAAAAAAACTATGTAAACTCGTCGCCTCAAAAGAACTAAGTAAAGCTTACTTAAGATGACTGTTAGGACAACAGCCATCATTGCAAGTCTGCAGTATTAAGAATAACTTGATATTTCTGACTGTACAGAACTAATTGTTTACCTACTGACAAACATTTCAAGTTCAACTGAATGAAAAAACTATTTGTGGTAACCTGAATATGATTAAAAATAATTAACAACACTTTTTGTAATGACGTTAAAATCAGCCCAACTTTTATTTTCAAACACAACAAAGTATAACAGCCAACATACTGGACACTGTTTGGCTGAACAACAAGCAATTATATTGCCATCACTGTTATAATCTTACAATGAAACAAAGTCTCAGATGTAATTATTCTGAAAATAAGTTTAGGCCTACCACAAGTTTGTTTTGTACTTACATTACTTATATAACCGAAATAAAATATTTGTAGTTCTGTCACAAGTGCAGTCTCTGATTTAAACAACACATTTGTTTTTCATTCCAACACATGAGCTGGAATGTTGTATTATTTTAAGGATGCTTGTTTCCAGTCCAGGCATTACTGCCTGAATGACTGTCATGGATCGAGGTGATCCAAATGTAGGTGCAGAAGAAAGTCTTTAACTTCCCTTAAGTACAGTGTCACTGGATGTGGGTTGGAGATGCAATGAGCTTGAACCTGCAGGCGACCATCTTCACTGACCACACCATCTGTGACGGAGGACTCATCTCTCCTGGTGTCCTGCAAGCAAACAATCATATTTTTTGGAACATGAACTTATTTGCTTTCTTAAAACATTTTTTTTCTGCATTTGGTATAAAACAAACTCAAATTTAGACAATCTCAGGCCCCCTCCCCACCGGAGAGGTGACATTCAATGTCCCACTGTCAGTCTGGATAGCCGTGACCGCCACCCAACACACAATAATGTCATGAAAGCATCATTTTAAAAAGGGCTATGCAAACATGGCCAATAACGTTCATTCTAAGATGTGCAAAATGATTTAGGAACAAAATTAATTTTGCTGTTAGAAAACTTGCAGACTTCACTATATGCAGTGTAGACCCTCTAAACTAAGTTTGGGAGATGTGATCTTTCAAGGAATGCAGACAAACTGTTGTTGTTTGTTTACTTCCACAGCATGTCTTGTAGAATTAAGGTTCAAGGTTCAAGGTTCTTTATTTGTCACATGCATAGTTATACAAGTATAACACACAGTGAAATGTAGCCTGACACGCTCCTCGACATG